TTTAAGTGTGCATTACCCATACATTTCAGTATATTGCTATCATGTACAATTTAATTTTTCAGTTAAATTTCAACAACCAATGTGTAGCCATTTGATGGATGAATTTTAAAACTGTTATATACGCTGAACTGTTGAATAGGTTTTGCCACAATGAAATTAAATTAAACCCTCAAGTTTAATTTCCTGCCAAAACAGCTCCTGATAACCCATATGGAAACATTCCATGTTAATGTGTCAACTAGAATTAAATAAACTTAACTAGGCTAATATAAACCAAAGTAGCAATATAAAAAGCATAGTCAGCATTCAAAAACTAGGTTTAAGATAAAAGTACCTAATTTTATTGAACTGAAGTTTTTTTTAATGTAGAGGCCATGGAAAACTTTATTTGTTTCTTTCTGTTACATTTACAAAATGTTATTCACTACTGAATTGGAATAGCAGGTTGACAATTCTGACGTAAATTGTTATAAGAGGCTGTAAAATATTTCTTTTTCCATCCAGGAACAATTGATTCAATTAATCCACGTTCTAAAGATTCCTGCTGTGCAAAGTCTGAATCTCCACTGAAAAAATTAAAAGTAAGCCCCACCACATCACAGGGCCTCCTTGCACCATTGGATTCAACCACAATTCCCTCCTCTTGTATTCTGCTCTGTACAGGAACTATTGAATAATCAAACAATGAAAATCCCTGTGAATTAATAAGCAGATCTAAGTTAAAGATCCAAAGAGATATATTGTTTTCTTGTATAATAATGTGTTTTTATGAGCATTAAATGCATGAAGTCTTAATAATCCATGTACATGCATTGTTCACAACATATGATGAGATTATATTTTTTTAAAACAATTTTTATTAATTTTCCATTTTAACAAAGCTTTAGGTATTAAGGAAGCAACTTGGTGATTGGGTAATACATAGACCAATAACGCATTTTTCCATACATATGGCAGTTTACATCATCAAAAATTTCCTCTCTGTTTCCCTTAGTTATTATACCAAATTTCAGATTAATACATTGCTAGTTATAACTCAATCATTTAAAACATTTATCAACAACTTTTGATTTATATGCCTTCAAATCCTGTTTTTAACTTTTATCTGGTTTCAATTCAAGTTAGCTTAATGTCCATAGTATTTAGATTTCAGATAGCCCACAGTTCCTTTAGTTCATTACAATATAGTTATCATTTCTAAAATATACTTATATATTCAAATAAATTCTTAGTTTAGTCCACAATCATATTCATCGCTTACTAATAAAATAACTTTTATCCTCTGAATCCATCTTCTATGTTATAATTCAAAACTATTATTTTAGTAACTAATTTATTTCCCTTATAAATATAAATCCTAAATATTACATCAATTGACATCTTTTAAAATCTCCTTATTCCATTAAGTACGATTTAAAGCTCTTCCATTAAAGATCACATAAAGAAGACCATTTTTTAAGTCTAACTCTGGCCTTCCTTTTGTGCCAAACAGGCTTCCATAACAGAACTTTTAAATCCTCAAGTAGATATCCCTTCATTCCTGCATATGTCATTTGAATCAAGGGAGACCATCCAGTTATCATTCTGTCAGAGAAGCTAATCCCTTCATAGTCATTAAATTGTTGGCCTGATAGTTTAAATCTCCATATTTGGCTTAGTGTATTTGTCATGAGTTCAGGCTGATCTTCTTCTTTTTTTGATTTCAGCTGGTTTAGATTAAAGATCATATTCAGTGTTGTAGTTGTTTTTTGGTCGTCTGGGTTATCTGAATTCTCAGTGTATTGTGTATGTAAGTCTTCAGCATCTTCCGTCTTAGTGTTGCTTTCCTCAATTACTGTTGCCGCTGAAGTTGCAAATTCTTTGGATGCAATCAAAGTTTGGATATTAAAGTTCTGAGTAGATTGTAGCTGGCATTCTTTGAGATCCACTTTGGTATTAATTCCTTCTTCTTCTGTTGTTTTTTGGGTTGTAAGTTCATCTATTGGAGTCAGGGCTGTGTTTTGTAGCTTTAAGGTGGTACGTATATCTTTCAGTCTGGAATTCATTTGCTCAGTAGCCTCTAAGATTTTTTCAAGTATAAATTTGAAGTTAAGCTGTGGGTGGTGTTCCTCCATTTCTGTGGTATTTGCAAATAGTCCTTTAGTGGAGGCTATTTTTAATGAAAGCCAATAAGAATCCACCTCCACTATAGAAAATTATTTTCACCACCCAGCTGTTTCAGGTTCTTATCTTTTTTGATAGTGTCAAGGACAAATTTTAGTCTCAGAAGTCTCCCAGTCCAAAAAAAAAATTCACTTGCTGTACCAAGTTTTGCCACAAGATGTCCCTAGTGCCATGCACAGTTAAGCTTTTATCCGATTCAAAGAAGAAAGAAAGAAATATTCCTCTTTTTTTCCCCAGCTTAGCAAACAAACAAAACAATAGATCTCTGTAAGAATAAAGAACTTTTTGAGAGCCCAGGTATCCAGAAATTGCTAGTCCAAATATTTAGTTGTTTAGTCTAGTTGTTCTATTTTTTCCCCCTTGCCTTAGCTTTATATTCCCAAAGTAGGCAGGAGCCACAGAATTGAGAAGGGGTAATAAGGTATTCACAGGCTTTTACAGGAAAATAGATGGCAAGCAGGAAAGGTAAGGTAAGGTCTCATCCAACTCCTTCGGGTTGATTTTGTCGTGCTTAATAGTGCTTTGGGCTTTCGGCAGGAATGGCTTGGTGATCGGCCATGTTAATGGCTGATTTTTTCTTTGTCAGTCCAGTGGAGCTACCTTGGATCCAACGGAAGGGTTGCCACCCTTCCACAGTCGAGGGTCCTCCTCAGCGGTGGTCCTCCAGGGAGACCTTCGACCCTTTGCAGGGTCTTTTGATGAAGAAGAACTGAACAGCAGAGAGAGCAGCTTATCCAAGCATCCGTCAGTACCTTGATCACAAACCGGAAGCCATGATGAGATTATATTAATCCTTTTCAGAATGTCACGTAGGTACTGTATGATAAATAATTTAGGATGACAAGATTTTAGAATGTTACATTGTTCCAAGAAAAAGGACAATTATAATGACTGATGATCATTCTCCTGTGATGAGAATATGTGTGTGTGTATATATATATATATGTGTGTGTGTGTATGTATATGTATGTGTATATATATATAGATGTATATGTATTTGCTTATGTGCATGCATACGATTTCTCCACCTTGTAAATATATATATATATAAATTCAATATGAAATTGAATAAAAATTACAAAGAATGTGGAGAAATTATTACATAACTGCAAAAATTATAGTTTCAAATATGTAAAAGAATGAAAAGTATTTTTATTTAATGATTATATAAAGTATTATCTGAAGAGTTTCATGATACTGAGAAAATAATAGACAAGTTTGATACATTTGTATTAATGTTGGGTTAAAACAAACAAATTGAAATAGGTATCGCTAAGCTATTCCTCATTACTTCTTTTGCATTCCACATAAAATATTAACAACATCATATGCACTCTACAGTATATGAAATTCATAAGAAGGAGTGATCTGAAATAGCCATTTAAAAAAATAATATATTTTCACATATCTCCATATTGTGAATTTTAAAAAAAATTCTGAAGAGAAAATATTTGTTCCTAGTAATATAGCAATGAAAGAATTTTTGCAGATGGCCTTGTTTGGTCAATAATACCAAAAAGTTAATGGAAGTCCTTGGCTAACCAAGCATCAATCCTGCCACAGTACTGGCAGAGAATGTCTCCATTTATTTATTAATTAAATGTATTTCTATGCCACTCAATTTCCAAGACTATTTCTAATACAATAATATTATGTTAATGGCTTATGGAAAAATATATCTGAATCTTTAAAAATTTTGATTGGACTATGTTATAGTATTGTTTATATGCAGAATTATTCCTTTAGATTCAATATTAAACACTCTGGTACAATCAGAATGCTGTTTAATAAATAGAACAGTTCTTTGCCTTAGTTTACAAATCATTTGTCCTATCTCCCTAGTAGAGCATATTGATATAGGCCAAATGCATTTGTTTCAAGATTAGCCAAAATTAGAAATCCAGGTTTATGTTACTCAGTCTTAAATGTGTTACATAACTTTCTAAGAGACTGTGACAAATATGAAAATAAATAAATCTGTGAAAATGTGGAAGTTTAAATAAAGCATTTATTAAGTACAGATTTTTTTATCAATGCACCATAAAGGAAAATTTAACAATAGTTTAATTAAACTTACAATAGTTTAAACCTATTATTGGATTAGTAGTTTGGAATGTAGAGCAATCCAACTATTTCATAGAAAATAAAATTCTTCAAATCCATTTTCAGGAAATAAAATAACTTAACATTATATACAGGTTTCAATATTTTTAGTGTTCCATTAAAATTTGTGACTGGTAATTTTTAACTTGGAAATTATTGTCCACAGTTTTGTTATAATTATCAAAAGGCTGAGAAATATTTAGACAAATAATTCATTCCACTTGAACTGAAGGAAAAATAATTGATAGAGAATTCAAAATGATATAATGGGTGCTGCTTTTAAAATTCATTTCAAAACATTCAAGGACATATATAAAAAGTTAAAGTAAACTTGTTATCTCTGAGAGGACCTAATTTCTGTTAGTATCAAGAATAGTTTATGTACTTTGATTCAGTTTCGTGATAGTTCTCTATCCCAGATAACAATGTATAATACTGTTCCCCCCCTTCTTGTACTGGAACATAACTGGTAATCTTCCTTACAACCTTCAATGGGCCAATCTAGAATAATTGCATTTAGATCACTTTTACTGAACAGACATTAACAACATTGTCAAACTGTATAAAATTTTTGACACAAAATGAAACTCCACTTATATCTTTTGAAATTACTGTATCTGATATTAAATGAAACTTTCTCTCACTATTAACCCAGTTCCACTGATGAAAGAAAACTAGCACATTAGTCCATTGCATAAACTTATTTGCAAGACATATACATTTCTGAAGTTTCCTTTTTTTGTCCATTTCGGTATATTTCTTCTATTCATAGTCTCCATTTGGGTATCCAATACAAACTTCCTTATATCTTGGATCACAAAAATCTTCTTACTGCATTTGCTAAAATCCACTGCAGATCCAAGGTGCAAAGATACACTTTGATCAGCATTAAAAGTGGTAATCCTTTTTGCTGTAGGCTCTTTTCTCTGGTGATGTTGAATTCCATGTTGGTTTCACAGGAGCACAGTTTTTATCCACAGCTCTACAGTGTGAATATGGAGTCATGGGCAACAGCAACAGATGCAGACTCAGTCTGTCACTCCAAAAGCAATACAAATATGCTTAAAGCTGCTTCATTTATGAAGCAAACTTAGAACTGTTAGCTGCCTGGAGAAAGGGAAGGGAGGAAAAAGCTTAAAGTCTCAATATCTCAAAAGCTATTTTAGTGACAGATGTTCAACTTTTCATATTAGTAGAAAATACTTTCACATAGAAATTGCATAGGCTGCCTTGATAATGAAGGAATTGCAATAATGAAGGAATCCTTTATTCAATCCACAGCCACCCTTTTCATTTGTTTTATACTTAAAAGCAATACCAATGTATTTTAAAACATATAAAGCAAAATATAAAAGTAAGGCAAATGAATGAATGAATGAAGACATTTCAAAGGCTTGGCTAAAGACAGCATCTTCAGAGTGCGAGCTAAGCATTACTCCTAAGGGTAGGTTGTGATTTTTTTAATCACAGGGTATGATTTAAAAAAAGATGATGACCACAATAATGTGATCAAAACTTTTTTGGTTCTTTATGCACATTTTATGTGTAACACACAAAAAATTCTGATTATATTTTTGTGGCCCCCAACTTGATTTTTTTGACCATACCTTGTGGATACTCCTGCCTAACAGAGCACAGTCTATAGACCTAGAATTTTATAGGAGAAAGATTTCCCCTACATGCACGATACAGGCCTCCCAGTGAAAACTCTGGTGGCCAGGGCAGATCTTTCATATTTTCCCCACCTGGTACAACTATTGGCAACATATCAATTATAGTTTCTATCATTTGAACATCTTAGCAATTTCTATGGAATGTATGGTAAATAATATAGTGATGAAGTGTTGCTACCTTAGGGAAGAAAATCACATGATATGTTGTGAGAGAAAGAAGAGATAAAGAACAGGAGACAGAAGAAATAAGAGTGAAATTTATAGAAAATTGGTGTTTGTGAATCAGGCAGAGTAGAATTGAAAATAGAAATATGGTGATAGTACTGATTGTGGGTTCTGTATATGGATGCAGATATATGAACACATGTGCATAATATATGCATTTAATCAATCAAAACATGGCTGTAGTCTTCTATCTGTATGTTTAGACAATTTGTTTAAACCTTTCTGAAGCATCAGCTGAACCTATATTAAAACTTAGTGGTTCAGTTCAAATGTCAGAGATAAAATGATCATAGTATATTTCTGTATCAATAGTAAATTGATCCAAATAGTAGCTTGCTCTTCCTTACATGCCATGTTTAGTCCTCAACTTATGACCACAATTACAACTGGAATTAGTATTGTAAGTTGATGCAGTTGTAAAGCAAGATGTCATGTAATTGCAACTATTTGTAATGGTAATCCCAGGGCTCCCCAGTGCGGTTGTTAACCAAGAATTCTGGGTCATTAACTGGGCTTGGTCCATACCAGCCCGAAGTCTCAGTAAGTCAAGGGTCTGCCTCTAATTACCCCTATGTGTCCATCGCTCCCTCATCTATATCCTTTTGGCCACCCTACATCCTGCCTTGTATAGCAACAAGCAACCCCAACAACTAAGTGGCTCTAGGGCTGCTTGCCACAACCAAAGAAACCTCCACCACCTCAGCCCACCCCAGCTGCCATTCATTCACCCAGCTACCTTCTCTCCCCATCCCCACATATTCCCCAGTCTGACCAGGAAGCATCAGCAGCATTCATTGACTCCCAGTTCACTCCAGCAAGCATTTATTCATCCAGTTGCCTTCTCTCCCAGTTCCCTGCATGGATCTTTCACCTTTTGCTGTCTCTGTTTTGGACCCAGTTTCTCCAGTGAACCTTTCTTACTGTCCTACTTTGTCCTTCTTCTGAAGGCAGCATATTTTCATAAAGCTGAGCTATCTTTGGAACACCTTGAGAAAGACAGGCAGCTTTCTGAAGGATATGTTGTCTTTGCAAAGCTGTGCTGTCTTTGGAATGCCTTTGGAAAGAGAGTGCAGCTTTACGAAGACAGTGCAGCTTTACAAAGAAGCACTGTCTTTGGAATGAAGAGAAAAAATGTAGAAAAGTAGGCAATGTTCCCTTGAGAGGCTGGATCCAAAAACAAAGCAGCAAAAGGTGAAAGATCGAAGCAGGAAACTGGAAGAGAAGGCAATTTGGCAAATGAATATTTCCTGGTGCTTGCTGGGTTATGGTGGGGAGCACTTGAGGCTGGGGAGCAAAGACAACTGGGCTTTCTAATGCTTGCTAGAGCAGACTGGCTCCGACTTCCCGAGGTATGGCAAGTAGCCTCAGAGACATGTCATTCTAATGCTGCTTGCTGTCTTGCAAAGCAGAATGCAAGCCAGCCAAAAGGACAATGATGGGGGGAAGGGAAATACACCTATGGGGGCAGTTGAATTGCTCCTGATGTAAGTATGGGCTGTCAAGCACTGGAATTTTCATCATGTAATTATGGCACAGGTGGTAAGTCCATTTTTTAAAACCCCACTGTAACTCCAAACAGTCACTGAACAATTGACTATAAGTCCAAGGCTATCTGTATAAGCATTTGAGAATTTACTTTGATACCCCATGGGCAGGTCTGAAAATAAGCCAAAGTTGCTCAGAAAGCGACAGGAATTCCTTTTGCATCATAGCTGAGCTACGCAGAGGCCAATGATGGGGAAACCTGCCAGCACAAGATGAAATTCCAGTCTTCAAGAAGCAGAGCCTGTCCCTGTGTCCCAGTGCAAATGGCTCAGATATTTATGTGATAAGCCATCATTTTAAATGCTTCTTTAAAAGAAAGCAAGAAGGGAGATTGTTTTTATAGAGTATGGGTTTATTGTCCATGAGGAAGCATGTCAATGTTCTGATGGTATATAGGTTTATATGAGAAAGCCCTGAAAGAATTACCACAAAGTTCAGACAACTAGTCACTTGAAACCCCTAAGTGATATAAACTCAAATGTTCTGTTTCAATACTTGCCTAGACGTGAAGCAGTAACAGTGTATATATAAAAAAGAAACAGCTACACTTGTAGAAGTGATTTGTCTTTGTGCTGCAACATACTGAAAAAGAAATAAAAAACAGTGCTTTTTCAGTCTTTTGTGACAAATCTATTTTTGAAATTATAAAAAATTATTTCAGATGGAGAACAGCCCTTATTTGTTAAGTTCATTCCACAATTACATATTTTAAAATATATTTATATGGAAATAATGTTTTAGAATATAAGAATATAAAGTGCAGGGGAAAATGCATCAATTAGACTTAAAGAGAACAGAACTGTGAACAACACAGACTTCTAAACTCTCTGGTTTGCTATTTTATAAAGTCTGCTTACTAGGAATGCCCCATTGTGTAGCCATTCTCTAGTAAACCTGTATAGAATTGCAACTTTACAAAAGCCTAACACAGGTCAGGAGGTACATATCTTACCTAGAATCTTTCAGGACCAAAATTTCCAAACATATATTTAAATTGAAGAAATAGTATCCTAGCAGACAATGAACTCAAAATTAAATTAAAATACCTTATCTCATTATCGTCTTGGTTGATGTTAGATTGTGTAGTCTGATGAATTTGTAGTATATGCCTGCAGGTCCTTTTCTATAGAAAAATAACAAAACATGCCTTATGGTAATGTAGAAAAATGCAATATAATCATTTTTTTGCATTTTTTAAAACAATGAAATACTAAAAGCATGTTTCTGTTGTCACTCATCTCAAATCACAACAGTTTGACCCTGGGAATAGTACTATTACCCTTAGCTAATCCATGCAATTAGTACCATAAATGTTATAGAACATTTATAGTTTTAATTGTATGGATTAGCTAAAAGTTTGTTCCAGTAGTCTTCCACTGGATAATACTCACTACATCAACCAGGCTTGGCAATCATCAAAGCTTTGTGAATTTTACAGCATTTTAAAAATATTTATCATTGCAAGTCTATGAAATCACACTGCTCTTGCCAATCCCAAACTGGCATTCAATTCTACATCAATACTTATTCCTCTTCACTGGGGAATCTAATTCCACACTGGAGAACTGTCTTCTGCCAATAAGTCATCTGCCTCTAGACAGGATGTTGACAGGAAGGGAAAGGAAATAAAATGACAAAGCTTTTCAGAAACATAGAAAGTTAAAAAAAAAAATCCTTTCCACAAATCCTGTCTGATATCCTGGTTTATTGATATGTTTGATTAACAGGAAACCAAGGTACTTCCTCAAGGGCATATATGATACTCCAATTTGTATCCTATTTAACCAATCACATATTTGATATTTCTCACCTTCCAACATATGGCTCCCAAAACAAAGCCAAAGACAAAAGCCATCAATGATGAAAGTGCTATGCTCAATACTTGATTGCTAGGCTTACTGAGGAAATCCAATTCTGCTTCTGGAATTAAAAACATTTTGGATTAATGAAGACAGGTTAAAACAAAACAAAATCTCCAGGGTAACAATGTTAAGTTTGTGAGTCATATATTTAGTAACACTTTTCTAGTCCTTACATTGTAAATGATACCTTTAAAGTAGTTTGTGGTTTTATTAGGAAGTATTTGGCTGCCTGAAAATCACAGCTTTATTTGCACTTCACTTGGGAAAGGCAAACATTCTGGCAACTTTATAATCTCATGTAACCATCTGCAAAGAAACTCTTACCAAGTTATCTTCTCATTTTCTCTTGCTGGATTTTCAGCTAAAGGTTTCCCCTCCCCATTTAAAACAGACCACATAATTTATCAGAAAAAACATGCTTAGAAGCTCTTAGATATGAATTCTCAAGAGGCACAGCAGCATGAACTGAAAAATGCCAAGGATTTCACCCATTCTTGAGGAACAGAGTACTATTAGCAAAAGCAGTCCCATTGGCCACTAAAACAATAATTGGGATACTTTTGCTCATCTGAACATTTAACAAGCAAGCTATACTAAGTCTTAGCCTACAACAGTGTTTCTCAACCTTAGCAACCTCAAGACATGTGGACATCAATTTCCAGAATTCACCAGCCAGCATGCTGATTTCAACATGCTGAATGTTGAAATCCACACACCTTAAAATTATTAGCTGCTAAACCATTTCTGTAGACCAATACAGTGGTCTACAACAATGGCTAAAAGAAGCAGCAGCCTGCTGCCTATCTGAAATCCATTGCCCTAATCATGATCAGCACAGATTTGTACAGCAGTGACCATAAGACAGCAATGAATATGTTTCTTGTTTTGCCTCTGGCAGTCTTTTTAATTTGGAATCTTGGTGTGACTCAGCTCCTATATCTATGTATAGTGGCTTCCCATATTTTTGTGTTGTTCATATGTAGGACAGCCATCATAAGCATGTATGTGTATTCCATAGCAAAATAAGATCTGCTGAGAAAGAATTAAAGACAGATATGATGGATAGCCATGAGCTGAGATATAGAGACAGTATTGTTGAGTGATTTCTACCTAATTATCTACTATGTTTGCAAAGAGCACCTGATGGCTTTAGGTTTCTACAGTTCATTTAGCAAGAAACTTTAAAGTTAATCCTGATAGAACAGGATTGTAAATTGAGTTTCATCCTCTTTACCACTAGAAATATCTGGGAAAGAAGAAAAATAATCACTGGCTATCTTTATTTGTCCTTCTCAGTAAGAAACTAGTAAGTATGTTGTGATTTCCTGCAGTCCATTATACCTGTGTTCATTACATGTTTGGAATGCATTTGGATTCTTTGTCATCAGTTTAGAGATTCTCTGACTATTCCTCTTATTCATATTCTTGGACAAGAACTCTAAATCTAGCAGGTATTAACATCTAGTTAATATTTGATCCTAACACAGAAGTAACTAGAGTAGATGGGATATGCATACTCTTAGTTTTTGTTGAATGAGCATGTGTTTTCTAAAGACATAATTCTTTAATAATATTCTCTCTCCGCACACATAAACACATATACACACATATATGCATTCTGACGTACGGTCTATAATTAGTTCGAATAATTCACTTTGTTTACACATTAGCCCTTGCTGTATATGGTGTCTCAATACTGCATACAAAAGATACTATTTAATCACCAAAAATTAATATGTATACGTACTAGTAGAAGATCTCTTGACATTTTTGGAAGAAGAGTGCCAAGGGATACAGTACATAGGACAAAAAGGCAAAATAAATAGGGCTACATCATTCATATGGACAGGACTTGGATTTAGGTTTGTTTTAGTACATTTTGTTGCAAGTCTTTATTTTTCATGTGTTCTGTATTATAGGACCAATTTTGGGGCTCTTAAAAAAACAAAGATCACACACCTAGCATACAATCTGTCTACTCCACTGTTGTTTTTCAAAGCTGGAGAAGTATGGACCAAATCCACCCTCTGCACTCTCCTGTATGAATGGTTCAGTGCACAGTTCAGCACCATATCTTTCTATAAGCACCAATGATATGCCCTACTGCAATAGCCATGTTTATAAATGCCTTTGTGAAGATGTTAGTTTATACAACTGGTACTTTCACTAATTAGCTTCAGAATGCATTGTCCCTTTCATACTGCTATATACCTACAAGGATTATATCAATTCTGCTAACTTTTTAATTTAGCTTTTTTTAATGATGGACAGACTAAATTTGTGTTGTGCATTCTAGCTCTGATTAGTTATCCACAGATGAACACTTAACATTTCAATCTCACTGAAATCAAATTCCAGCCAGGATTAAATTAGATAAGCAGCCACTAAAAATGCTAAAAGGATACTGCCCCTTTCAATTCATGTTATACACGTTTTCATTCAAAATACCTGCCACTTATAAGATTTTATTGCCCATTTTACTTCAACTGAAAAATTCTGCATATTCCTGTTTAAGCCAAATATTTAGCTTCACTATAAATACACTTTGGCAATTCATAGTTTATAAACTTATCTAAATTTCTAAATCTTGCTTTTATGCAGATTTATGCAACATTGTTTGAACTTTGCTTAGACCCTTCAGGCATGCTATCTCCAACAGGAAATTTTAATCAAGCAGAACAGATATTTTAGGCCTGCATAATTCATAGATGATTATTTTATACCCAATAAGCCAACTGTAGAAGATAAAAGGTGAAAATCTTAAATATTTGATCATAGTAGGTCTAGAGAACATAGCCTTATATCAATTTAGATATGATCAATCAATCCAGCATTGTCAACAATGATCAGCAAAGGCTTTCCAGAATTGCAGACAGTTGTTCCAATTGCTCCCTTTCTTATATGAAGATCAAATTCGAACCATTTAGGCCTATAACCATATCCATCATGTCTATTTTTATTATGTGTGCCAGGTCTTGGCTGTGAAAATCTAGATTAACTGCTAGATAGCACGAAAGGGAAGCATAAAATTCATTCTGCTATGATATGGTTTGTGGAGGGGGTCTAGCCCAGATTTGGTAACTGTAATTGCCTTAATTAATACTTTCCTTTGTGCAGTATTAACTGCTGCATTCTTACCATTATGGAAAATAACTAAATATTCTTATGCTGTTTGACTAGGTATGAATCCGTTAGATGGTTATCACTTAATTTTATTATTGCTTTGATTCCATCAGACAGGTAGTAGGTTTGCAAAAGTCTTAACATTTTACTTGTTCATCCCAACTACATTCTTATTAATACTGTCATAAGATTTGAAAAATTGGCAAAATACTTTCCTTGCAGAATTTTGATTTCTCTATAACATTTGTTATTCCCCATCAAACAAAACCAGGTACTCTGGGAGAACTGAAAGGCTCTTCTATATTTTTAAAAATTCTAGTTCGTTCATTTTACAATGCTTTCCTTCAGTGATCAGGAATATAAGCATGCCATTTCTTTGGCTATCCTAATTTCTTGTTTATCCTCTAATTGTCTTGTTTATTCTCTAATTTTCTTCTTTAGAAGGTGATTTTTAGCAGTTAGTATCATAACACATTTTTAAAAATCTCTTTGGAGTAGGATATCTGGATCTACTAACTTTCTCATGGCTGTCTGTTAGAATTAAAGTTTCATTTTGTAGGTTGTTAACTAGGTCTTTGTCAAAATTCTCTATATATTCACTTTATTGTTTTCTTTGAATCTAGTGATATTCCTGTCTCATTTCTTAGTTCTGAAATATTTAGAAAAAAATCATTTGTATACCTGACCCTATACTTTATCCCAGACTGTAAACTGAAATGGCAGATTAGGGGCTCATAATATGGCAATGCAAGAAACGGATTCCTTGTCCATTTCATCTTGTGATTTATATAATCCAGTAAATGTTAAAATCATAAAGAAGCTTCTTCACCTTCCCAACTAGTAAGCCTCCTTAATTTAAAAAAATGGGATTGAGCACTACATTTGTTCTTAGACTCTAGAAAAAACCATGTTTTTATTTCTATCACAGCTTCATCAAGCTTTAATAATTTAATGCTTCCCAGGCTGAAGCAGAAGTGTGGGGGAGGAGGAGGAGAAAGTGATTGAGGAGGAGAAGCAACCCTCTCCTGGTTACTTGGGGCCATTAAATGACATTCAGGGTTATGTTATGAAATAATTAAAAGAAATTCATGTATATTGTTTCAATTTTCCATTTTCTATAAAAGTCCTACAATTTTAATTACCAAAAATTAACTCCAACCAAAGCAAATCCATGTGCTTCTTCTCCAAACTCTACGCTTCATGCTGAGAAAGGATATTAATGTTGAGTGCTATTAGACATGTTTGCCACATGCTTCTTTTCTCTGGTGGCAAAGAAGTTTATTTAACCAATGCATCCCGATAATGCAGAACTAGTTTGCACAATATGGCTGCTTTTCTTCCCCACCTCCCCAATTAATATGACAATATTGAATAACAATTGTTTATACTTACTGTTGCTGTTATTGCCACTGCTATCATTCCTAAGGGAACTGGCTGCAACAGGATGTAATAAAAATGGCTCTGTGACACTGGTGCTTGAATCTGAGACAGAAAGAATATGTCAGGTTTTTTTTTTTATATTTTAAGCAGATATGAAGTTGCGTAATGCAGAATGAAAGCCTGGGATCCTGGCAGGATTCTTTTCCGGCCTGATCCATGAACCATATGTGAGTTTCCCACTGCAATAAAGCTGGGCCTATTTGGGTGAGTGGAGGGAGGGACACTACTTTTTTTTTTTTTTTTACTGCTTTATACCATTTAGACAATTCAGAAAAAAGGTTTATGTGATCAGAAGTAAATAGCTATAATAGAAACAGAGCAGTTAAATTTCCTATATTCTGTGTTCTAAAAATATACCATTCTATAAAATCCTGAATGCTTGCTTTATGTGCCTAAAATATGTTGTTATGGAGGTGCGTTGAGGAATATTTTAGATATCAGAGACTGAAAAGGCTAGCATTGTGTCACCATTATTTTTGTGCTAGCCACCTGTCCTTTTGATAAAAAACCTGAGGGAAAGGCTGCTCTTTCAAAATCTGCATGCAAATCCTTCAGGAACCTTCTCAATTGAAGACTGGGATAAAACTGACGTAAAGAGGTAAATAAATTTATTGCACTGTTTATTTTGTTTTAAAAATTAAGCAGCAGTCATGAGTTTTGAATGTGGATTAAGGTTCTAGAGAATAATGGGGTAAATGGTGTAGAAAGATTTTAATCCCTTCTCCCCACTTTGATCCTAGTCTAATTATTTGCATTGGTCAAAAGCAGAGCTGCTGGCTATCATCAAGAGGGTAATGTATTGAGGACTGAAAATGAATAGCGGGGAAGAGGGTCTCTATCCCTTATTCTTGGAATAGGTAAGGGATAGAGATGGCCACATTGGCTATGCTTTTCTATATGTGTGCCCACATGCTTTAGATTCTCTCTCCAATCTCCTTATATTGATGCAGGAAGTCTGAAGTACATATCTCTATGCTGTTTAAAAGGTAAAGGTAAAGGTTTCCCCTGTCCAGTCATGTCCGACTCTAGGGGGCAGTGAAGGAGTCAGTGTTGTCCAAAGACATTTCATAATCACGTGGCTAGCATGATTATATGCTGAGGTGCACGGAACATGTTACCTTCCCACTGAAGTGGTATCTATTTATCTATTTGCATTCACATGCTTTTGAACTTCTAGGTGGGAGGGGCTGGGTCAAGTAACAGGAGCTAACCCAGTTGTGCAGCACTCAGATCTCAAACCCAGGCTGTCAGCTTTCCAAATGACGTGCTCAGTGTCTTTAGGACCATGGTAAACCAGGGTACAGTTCAGCAAACTCAAAACGCTATTTATTACTGATATTTCTAGATGGCTCTATTCCAAACAGCATATAATTGTGTTACATTTAACCTGTATAATACAAGCTCATATTGAATTGGCACCAATCCATTAAAGGTGATTCATGACATTTGTGGATATTTTTATATATAAAGGAGCATTTACCATTTGGAGAGGCTTCTGTTGTTGAGGGAAGAATGCAGTCACTTTGTTCTGGTCTTTTGGAAAAGTTTTTGTAGGCCTCAATAGTGCTGTAAAAGTGCTTAAAGAACTCTTCCGGAACAAATTTATCTTCTTCATATAGATGGTCATGTTGGCTATAATTCTGAGAAAGAGGACAGAATCCCATTTTTAAGAAAATAAGGCCACCTAGTCTATCACTATGCAGGGAAGGTTTTAGGGCAGGAATTTCTTCCTAGGTGAATACATTATTTACAAGTGGCAAAAACACAGGTGAAAACTGTATATGCAAATTCATATTCAACTGAAAAGCTTTTTTGGATAAATATTAAATACACAATTAAAATACTAAACCAGGAATTGGTTTACTTTGCAAATTGAAGCAGCTAAGTTTAAAGCTGGCTTTATACATTATAGTTTCTTTACGTTACAATATCATTTTTTATGTTTTAAACCAGAGATATATAATGGGGGTGAGGGGTTGGTATGTATCTTGGAGAATGCTTATTCTCAAATTTCTGTTTCACCTATTACTATGAAAAGCAATACTGTTGTTTCCACAGACTTATTAGCAGTGCATGCTATGCTTGTTACTCAGAGATTACATTTGAAATAAGTCCTGCTGAATTTGACAGAGATTCAATGCATCAAATGTATATATAAAATAATGTGTACATGTTAAACAGACATATTTATTAAAATACAGGGCTAGAAGAAATTAAACTGTGTGCAAGAATTATTTATATATTATTTTTATGTTCCACAACAATCATACAAACACAAGGGAGGGTATAAATATGATACATAAATATATATAAAAATTGAAGAAATTATATATAATTAAATATATAAATAACTGAAGGAATTACGTATATAAAGTCATAAAGAATGTTTGGCTTATTATACTAGCAAGGTAACTTCTGCAAAAACATTATGTTACAGTCATCCATTCTTTATACATTAATGTCACAGGATACTTAGTAATATAGAGGAAAGTTCAATTTTAGATTATTACCTTATTATATGTGGTAGAAGGTAAGCATGCCATCACATCGATGATGATCCTCCTTAGTTTATTGATAATTGAATAATTACTCAAGACATTTGACATATCTGGAAATTCTTTAAATTTATTGAGAAGATTATTTAGACTGTTTAACAATTCAGGGACCATCAAATGCAACCAACAATGGTAAGGCTGTCAGAGATTATAACAAAGAAAAAAAAGATATTATATTCTGTGCATGCTTTAATAATGTACAATTGTAAAAGTAGTTCAATACATTGTTACATTTGTTTGTTTATTTAGTTATTTTCTATCTACCCAGCATTTATAAACTACCTCAACCCAATCTGCCTTGGGCAGCATTATTTTGTGCTTTGTTAAACTACTATTCAACCATTAATGTGCATGAATCTGTGACTGTCAGCAGTTGCATTTCATGTTGCATGTCAGGAATACAATTCAAATGTCAAAAATACTATGCATTAACAATGTTGCTTCATTAATATATAGACTTGGTTCATCTCAACAGTGAACATATTTTGCTAACACAAAGTGTGTTCATATATTACATTAAGTCATAATGAGATTTGTCTAATTTTGATTTACACCACTGTGTGAATCCTAATAGTACCAAAGCCCATTAATACTGCAGCAGGACAAAAGTTCATTTTCAATTATGAACATCAAACTCAGTTTAAAAGTGCTATTAGATCTAAAAGTTATTAGTATTAGTATTATTAGTATTAAAAGATATTATTGAGTATCTACTGAGATCTCTACCCTATATGGCTTTCCTACCTAATTGTTCAATGAAATGTTGTAGCAATAGCAAAAGCACTTAAGATTTATTATACCGCTTCACAGTGCTTCACAGCCCTCTCTAAGCAGTTTACTAGAGTCAGCATATTGCTCCCAACAATTATGGTCCTCATTTTACCAACCTCAGAAGGATGGGAGGCTGAGTCAACCTTGAGTTGATCAGAATCGAACTGCTGGCAGTCGGCAGAGTTGGCCTGCAATACTGCATTCTAACTACTGTGCCAGAACGATTCTACCTGGTGTAGCATATCTATTTTTTTAAAAATAATTCCAAGTTGGAACTGGAGGTGCTTCTAAGGCCATAGAATACTGCCCCTGTGGCAAATAACCCCGGACATATTCACAAAATGTTTCTGACTATTCACTAAAAAGAAGATGACTATCTTTCTCTCTCACACGCACAAAGTTATTATTCTCTCTGTCAGCAAGTAGATTTAATTAGGCTTTTAATTGGCAGCAAAGAAACAACCTTAGAACATTGCAGTTATATCTGTTTTTTTTGGCCAGGAAAAATTAGAGGCTTGGTAGGAAACCATTTATAATATTACGTACTTTACAATTTAATTAGATGAACAAAATTGAATTTCTGATTAATACTGTGAGTATGTCAATAACCACACCTCAATGTTTGGAATGTTAGAGGAGACAAAAAAAATGCAGGCATAAAAATCTTACAATATTCCTATTGCATAAAATCAAAGATTTCCTGTTTCATCTACCATGGGAAAATGAATCATTTTATATAACTGAAGATTTAGATAGGCTGAGTCATTCACTCACCTAATTAATATGTATATACAAATAATTAAAATTATATTGCTCCTTTGTACACATTTATTTCAAGTAAATAAAATATATGGGGGGGAAAACCATTTAAATGCAGCATGTTAAATTTTAATAGAATTTCAGTGGAAAAGTTTAATTTACCAACAGGAATGTAATGCTCTCTGGCCAGAATATAATTTTATAAGAAAAACCTTTTGAAAAATCTCTGCATTAAAAAGTTCACAATCTGTTTGCATTTCCAAAAATTGAAAAGCAAAAATAATTGATGCTGCATATGTTTATGTTTTGAAATAATTCAAATAGCTTTACATACCAATGTGTCTGTCTTCTGGACATATCTAAGAGCTATCATATAATCATCTGGAAGATTTCCAACCTACAGACAACCAAAGAACACAAAAAATTATTTAACTCTTTAAGGAAAAAAAATTGAAATAGAGAAGACAATGTAGCTAAGCGTATAAAGTCCAATCATGCCTGTGGGAACCTGACATGCCACTTGCATGACCATGCAATGCAAATTTTTAAATCCTGATCTTTTTTATAAATTATGTACCAGCCAATTGATTCATTTCAGATTTATTTTCAAACATTTTTTCAGTTCCTTGTTGAAAATCTCCCTTTCAGGTATTTTTGACTATATCTGTTTTAATCTTTTACTCCTGTGAACGATGAAGGGCACTAGGTGGACTCCTTCTGGTTTATGGCTTGTCTGGCTGTCACTTGTATGTGAAATATCAAACTGAAGTTTGTTCTGCCTATGAAAGAGAAAGAGATGAAGCACATGATCTAAGTCTCACAATGGCTTGTTTTTCTGTTTTATTTGTAGTGGGTCAGCATATTTTTCTAGGACAACTTGCTGCGGCTAGCTTGGCGCCACCAACTCACCTCTGCCAACTCACTGCCACCAAACTGCTGCAGGACAATTCCACATGTCCAACTCGCTGTGGGGACAAATTGCCACAAGCAGCTGGAGCAAGAGCTGGTCAGGTGAGCAAACCAGCAATTGGGCAGAGCACAGAGTGCAGCCAAGGGCTTCTTATTTTCACACTCTTGCTGCTGTGCCAAGCTCTGTGCAAAAGAGTTCGGGAATGGTGGCAGTGGACAGGATGGGTGGCAGGGAAGCAGCAGTGGCCAGGGATGTCCCATTTTCACACCCTCTGCCACCATTGCTGCTGCTGCACCAATCTCTGGGACACAGATGCTGGGGACAGCGGTGGCAACAGGGATGTGAAAATGAGATGCCTCTACCACCACTTTGCTGCCATTGCTGCCTCTGTCCTCAGCCTCTTCAGTCCAGAGCATGGTGCAGCAGTAGTGGCAGCAGCAGAGGCAACAGTTGGGGGTGTTAAAATGGGATGCCTCAACCTCCACCACCTCCTTGCTGCCCACCCTGCCTACGGCCACTGTCCCCAGCCACTAAGGCATGGAGTTTGGCATGGCAAGCCACTGTGCACTCTTCCCACCTGCTCACTCACTCACCCAACTCTCTCCCTCTGGTCACCTGCAGTGTGTTGTCTCCATGGCAAGTTGGCCATGTGGAGTTATCTTGCAGTGACTTGGCAGAAGTGACTGCCCATTCTGAGCTGCTGCAACAAGTTATCCCATTCCTTTTTTCCATGGCTCCTTTTTAAAGCCTTTGTATTCTAATTGGAAAGTTGCTATCATAATTTGACTCAGTAATATTTTCTTTAATCTAAATATATGCAGCTCCTATAACCATTCTTCACAGGACCTGATTCCATATTCCTCATCAATTTGATAGTCCTTCTCTAAAAATTTTCTAATGTGTTTTTATATTTTTTTAAAGTGTGATGAACACGATATTCCAAGTGGGAACTTACCAGGTCAGCATAAAATGGAATAATTACTCCCTGTTATCTTGATTCTATCTTTTAGAATCTATTATACTGCTGGTTCATGTTTAATTTTTCGTCATCCAGTATAACCCAAATCCTTTTGGCATTGTTGCCAGGAAGCCCTCCCCATTTGTGCCTTACATTCTTCCTATATAGATGCATAAATTTATACATATCTTATTCATTTCAGTCATCTGTTCAAGCCTATCCAGTACTTTTTGAATCTTCTCCCTTTCATTAAAAATGTATGAGTCATCTGCAAATGTTATAAATGGGTGAGGAAATCACCCAAGTCACCAATAAAAATGTTGAACAGCACAAGGACCAAGACAGAAGCCTATGGCACTCCACCAATCTTCTTTCCAAGATTAAATGGGGCCAGTGATGAACACTCTCTGGATGTGCTCATTTAGCCAACCATAGGCCCATCTAACAAGAGGTATGGTAGCTCATATTTCACCATTTTATAAAGGGGAATATCACAAGGCACTCTGTCAAAGACTTTGCCTAAGTCCAGGTGCATTATGACTGCAATATTTTCCAACTTTGTCAGAGATAAGGTTAAGCTGGCAAAATTTGTTTCCAACAAATCTAGTCCAGGTGCTGTTAACTGTAGTGTTCTTATATAATTGCTTCTATAAATCACAGGTTATTATTTACTAGGCTTCATCTCTCAGTTTGGACATAAAACAAGCTCATCTTATTGATGATTGCACAGAGAGCTGAAAGATCATCAAGTAACTCTAAGCAATCATTATGGCGTAATGTAGTGAATTAAATTTGTGCCTGATTATGTGATATGCACATGGTCATTTTGGTTTATTTATGTCAAACATGTCAAAAACAAGGCCCACGGGCCAGATCCGGCCCAGGAGGGGCCCAGATTTGGCCCCCAGAGCTATTCCAGAAATGACAAGGGCCATGGAGTTCTATAAGCCTAGCACCTCGGGGCATACTGGCCTGTGGGAAGAAAGGTGTGGAGATGGGAGTATGTGGTGGCACAAGCCAAGAATCGGCCGGCTTCTAGTCACCATCTCTGCCACATGGTAGGGCCGGATGCAGAGCTGCAGACTGGAACTGCCAGCAGTTGGCAACGTGTGAGGCTCTGTGGTAGCTGGAAAGGATGAGAAGGAGGAGAAAGCAGGAAGGGTTTCTCTCTCTCTCTCTCTCTCTTTGTGTGTGTGTGTCTCTCTCTCTCTCTCTCTCTTTGTGTGTGTGTGTGTGTGTGTGTGTGTGTGTGTGTGTGAGAGAGAGAGAGAGAGAGAGAGAGAGAGAGAGAGAGAGAGAGAGAGAGAGAGAGACAGCAGGGAAGTGAAAGTGTGGGGAACAGGAAGCATTGCAGAGTAAGCAAACTTACAAAAAGGGGATCTCTCTCTCTCTCTCTCATACACACACACACACACACACACACACACACACACACACACAGAGAGAGAGAGAAACCCTTCCTGCTTTCTCCTCCTTCTTGCCCTTTCTCTCCAGCTGCCACAGAGCCTCACACATTGCCAGTGGCCGGCAGTTCCAGGCTGCAGCTCTTTATCCAGGGTGAATGCTGCATTCCCCTCTCCAGCCCACATGACAGAGAGGGTGATGCTCGGTTTGTGCCTCTGTGCTCTCCCATCTCCTTGCCTTTCATCCCACAGGCCAGGTGGCGGGCGGGCAGGCTGGGCCCCTTCTTTCAATCTCCCTGCAGGGTGACCCTGAGGATCTAAAACTGATCATATTCTGGATGACTGACACGAAGTTTAGATCAGCGCCACCCCTGCCACCAGCACCTCCATGGCCCACATACCTGGCATCACAGCCTGTGAGCACTTCTCTTTCCCCAGCCCTGTGTGGGAAAGCCACAGTCACCGGCAGCAAAGAGAAGCAAGATGACAAGACTAGATGTCAGGCAGTTTGCAGAAAGCCAGCGAGAAGATAAGGCCATTTGGGGGGTTGGGTTAGTCATGTTGTGATTCTCAGAAAAGTGAGAGGCCCAAAAGAAATATATGGAATTATCTGCAAAGGACTTCTGGGGAGATGGCTTGGAGCCATGTGCTGCATCAGGAAGGTGGTGTGCAGGCAGGTGAGAGAGTAAACTTGCAGATTGGCTTTGTGGTCTATTCTTGCCACCTCCCCTCCCTAAAATCCAGCCAATAATAGAACTCTTTGGATTATGGGAAGTTAAGAGGTATTGGCATGAGTTGAAATTAAAAGGTCAACTCCCCCCCCCATTATTTTGTTGGAGACGTGGAAAGTGTTTCTTGCTTCTACTTCCCCTCATCTGCTCTTTTATAATTTAATCCAGACTTACCTAAACTAATGTCTTTTGGGTGTCATGGACCATAGTTCCCATCATCCTGTGATTATGCTGGCTAGAAATGCAATGCCTTATTTTCTCTGCAGTATGCGCCTAGGAGGCAGTAGGTCTGTGGGATTTAGATGTATTTAATCATTTGTTTCTTCTGCCTAATTTATTACATCAACGTCTAATTTGAAATTAAATGTTTTAGAGAAATCCAGGGTGGTTTACAAGAAAACTGTCAAAGACAGTTTTTGCAAAGCATCACCAGCATTGCTTAAAAATAATATTAAAAGCGTGTATTTTAGGAAAGAAAAATATTAGTAGTAATTTACTTAGTGCTGTTTGACCATAAAATGTGGTGTTGTTCTACATATGCCTGGCTGAACAGTGTGTTTGGAGTTGCCTCTAAATGGGTGAGGGATGCACTATTCTTATTTTCCTTGGGAGAAAGCTCAATAATTAGGGTGCTGTCTCTGAAAAGAGGCATTGTCTTACCTGAACGCCTTTTCTCAGCATGACGATGGAGAATCCACCAATGGGTTATGCTTGTCTTCTGCCCGTAGACTAAGTCAGCCAATTTTGTTCTGCCTCTTCCTGGGACCTCCATTCCCCAGTTCTCAAATGAGACGAAGTTGCTGACTAAGATTCCATTTGTTGGCTCAATCCTCTTCCCTGCATAGGACCTGACTGGCCTAAGGGTGGGAATGGATTCTCCATCGTCATGCTGAGAAAAGGTGTTCAGGTAAGATAACGCCCCTTCTCCAGCATGACGAGTGGAGAATCCACCAATGGGACGTACCAAAGCCTCACTGTCCCTATGGGTGGGAAGCAGTCTGGGCCTGTGTCCCACTTTCTGGTACTACGCACTGGAGGACCTTCCTGCCAAATGAGGCCTCTGCAGATGCAAACCTATCTAACTTGTAGTGTCTTATGAAGGGAGAAGGTGATGCCCATGTCACCGCCCTACATATTTCCTCAATCGGTGCCTGAGTCGCCCACGCTGCCAAAGTGGCAGTGTTGCAAGTAGAGGGTGCGGTGATTTGTCTGGGGACTATTCGCAACTGTCCCTGGTACGCCACTGCTATGCACTTCCTGATCCATCTACCGATTGTGGAAGCTGTGCATGAGTAGAAGGAAACGAACAGGGCCTCCGATTTGCGGAAGGGTGCCTAAGGGCCCTGCGAACATCCAGGGTGTGCCACTTGCACTCCAATTCATGGGAAGGGTGAC